GGGGAGTGTCTTGGAGCCTGTCTATGGCATCCTAACATTCCCACAGAGTAGGATGGTTCTGCTTTGTGTAAAGGCCCTGGCTGCTCTAAAGCTTGTTAAATGTATTTCACTTCTGCTGGCCTAATGAACAGCCTTACAGTGTGTTTCCCAGTTCAGAATACTAAACCCACATTGTTTAGAACATTTAAAGTCTATTGCAGCTTTGTGAGAAAGAATTTGTCACATAATTCGGTAACTATCTTTCTAAAATATGTTACTAATATGTATGTAGTATTTCTACTTTTCACATCAGCTATTTCTAAGGATATGCTACAGCTTACTTCTTTAGATCAATTGCCCTTTTCAATATCCAATGCAGAAACAACATTTTATCCCAGTCCCACAATAGCGTGTTGGAGATGAAAAAGGTGTTTTGCAGTGATAAAGCACTTCTATCTGACTGATAATATTTTAGGAAAACTATTTGGTCACAACATGAAACACCTCTTATACTGAAAACATTTAATGGATCTGGAATCAAGCCGCAGTTTGTCTCTGTAAGGCTCACAAAATAGAAACGTGCACTCCCCATTCTCAGTTTAGGAAAAATGTCAATAGTTGCATCAGTCCTTGTGTTCAAACAGTCCCAGAGAGAGAAAACAGCCAGTACTGCTTGTGTACAGCTGTTATTATGGGATATTTGGCATAAAGCAAACAGGGATCTTAAAGAAGCAGTGATGGTTGGAATCACATGGATATTGAGTGTGATTCCTGAAATTCAGAAGTAGGGAAACAAACTTCTCTTTTAAAAATTCTTAATGCAGAAATTAACTGGTAATAACAGCTTAAAACAGGATCTGAGAGAACTTGCAATTTCATGAGACTTAAAATTTAAATCTGCATAGAAATTTTAGCCTAAATTAGTGATTCTTTTTATTGGTACTTTTAAAGACTATTTATATACATTTTCTGGATTTCTTGGCAGATAAGTGCAATAGAATTGTAAGAAATGTCTACATAGAGGTTAAATTTGCTGAGCCAATTATCGTAGCAAGTTTTCATGATGTAGAAAGGCCAAATCCTAATTAGCCTGATTTTCAGATATTAAGCATCTTTTACTCCTCTAAAGGGTAATGAAAGTCTTCTGTCAGCAGTTCTGCAGAACTATTTAAGGGGCACAAATGTAACTCAGTTTTTGATGGTGCTCTGCTTGTGTGTATTGTACCTCACGCTACAAATTATCTGCATGTTTATTTTCATGGAGGAATATATATTTGATTTAGTTCATTTTAGTGAAAAGGAAAAGACAGAACTAACTTGATAATGAAGCTGTCTTAAATGATTGGACTTGAATGTTTTCATTTTAAAGTATTACTTTTCATTTAAATATTCTAATTATTTGTTTTCTGGTTTTTAGAAAGCTCTCAGTTTCCAGGGTGTGGAGGCATTGTATATATTGACTGATGGAAAACCAGATACCAGTTGTAATCTGATTTTGAAAGAAATTGAAAGATTGAGAAAGCAACAAGATATTAAAATCCACACCATTTCTTTTAGCTGTGTAGACAGGTATGTGATACATAGCAAGAAGAAAAAAAAGACAATCCTTAAAGTGATTATTTACTGTCAGAAGGCAGAGTTCTCAGTGCATGCCACATGCTCAGTTCACTGAACAGGATTGAGCTAGGCAGGCATTCATGCCAGTGGGAGTGGGGCAGGCTGTTCTGACACACGGTCGCTGTGTGGCCTGCATCTCCTACATCTACTTATGGGGCATATTGGACAATGGTAAGTAACAGAGGCATAAAGCAGAGTGTAAGTTGTGGAGCACACACAAAATTTTCCTTCCTCTTATGGAATCTCCCAGCTTTTGGTTTTCTTACCCTTTGTGAAATATTACTGCCTTTCCTTGCCAACCAGCTCTCTGATTTTTTTGGTTTATCTTCTTATTCTGGTTCTGTTGGTACAATGAACCTCTTGTTAAAAAAAACAACCTGTCTACAGAGGTTATGATGACTAAGCAGTGTATATTCTTCCTTAGTTCTTCAAGTTTAGAAATGATACAGCAATTTAAAACCAAGTCCTCCAAATTGCTTGTTTTGATTTAATATTTTCTTGAGGAATTCTCAGAAATTATTTTTCTATTCTTGCTTTCAGATAAATAATTTTCATAAGTGACATTACTTTATTATTAACAGAGAGGCAAATGACTTTCTGAAGAAGCTTGCCTCCCAGACAGGAGGGCGCTACCACTGCAGTTCTGGAGACGTGGATGGACAATTAGCAGCACACCGAATGCTGACAGAAGGATTCGATGATGAGGATGTATGTTAAATGGTTTGGATCTTGTTGGATTTGGTTTTGTTTCATTCTGACTTAGTTCTTCATCTGTAGTCAAACTGCATTTAAGAAAGAAAAATCACTAGAAGAATAAGACAGGAATCTTACAATACTTCATATTGAAATCAAAAGGAGAAATCCTAATTTCTGGCAGGTCTGTCTGCACTCTGCCTCAACCAGGTGACCAAAACTTCTAAAGCAGTGCGTAACACAGTGTATATTTTTGAAAGAGAAGCAGAAGCATCCTTTATCTGGACACTTTTTTTTTTATCCACATCATCTTCAATTACATTTGTCACTGTAAAATCCTCGTACAGTGTTTAACACATTAATGTTATAAAAGGAGATTATTAATGATTGCCGCAGTAGAGAAATTTGTTAATGAGCAGAATCTTATTTAATACAGAGTTGCTCTGCTCTTTGTAATCCCAAGGCCTCTGCAAACAGATTGGGGAAAGGAGATGTGGAGCTTTGGCAGTTCATAAAATGTGTAGAAACTGAAAATAGGAAGTAGATGCAGGTTAAAGTAGATTATTTTAATTCTGTTTTCAGGATCCAGTTTTCCCGTACTTCGAAGGAGATGATTTAAAGAAACTTACTGAGGAAGTAGCAAAAGCTAGAGGTTTTTTAAAGCAGGCAAAATCTTTGAGGTGAGTATCAAGAATCTTCCAATAATTTTTATTTCATGAAGTAAAAAGGAAATCTGAATTCCAGTGTCTACTACTTGCAATAGAATTGCTGTTTCTTCCTTGTACTACCAATTGCAGGTTTTTTTGAGGCTTGGAAAATGGCATGCAAATGATTTCTCTGCTTTAGATGGATTTAATTTTAAAGTCTTAAAAAGCTACCGTCATACCATTGTGGTCCCTCCAACACTTGTATCAAAGGGAAATTGCATTAGGTTGTTCTTCACTTTTTGAGTTCTATCATATGCCAAATCATTATATTTCTCTATGTATAGATTATGAAAAAATAAAATGTCCTTTATAGTACCTCCTCCTTTAGTCTGACTTCTTACCCTGAAATGCACATTATTTTTATTTTGCAAAATCAACATAGTCTCCTTCAATGCTACCTCACCCTGATTTCTCTAACCACCCCATCATGCACTCTTTCTGCTGGAATTACATTGTCACATGGAATAATGTGAGATCTGTTCATCAGCAGCCCATCTGCTTTTCAAGTTACCATCCATCTCCCTTTTTCATTGAAGACCTCTAAAATGTCAACTGGCTTTTTTCCTGGGAGGATTACCTAAGCCTTCCTCTTCATTCCTCTTTCATGTTGTGATTTACCAAAGGATCTGACCTCTGATCTCATCTCTCAATCTAGGTCTTTTTCTGTTTTCCTAGTTAGTATGACTCTCTATCTTTTTCCTTTTCCCTTCAAGTCTTGGGCCTGCCAGATTCTGTCCTGTCTTCCCCTCTTTCCTTTCAGTTCTTTTCAATTACCTTATCTCTCTGCATGTTCAGGTTTTTTCTCCCTTAGTTTTCCTTCTCTTTAGCATCCTCACTTACCACAAGGTTTCTCTTTGCCTTTTCTGTTAACAGCTATTTAACAGGTAACGTAATGCCAAGCAGAGGTATCCCAGTGGACTCAAAACGTACTGAGTCAGTTCCTGAGAGCAATACAACTGTTAGCACTGCGTGCCATCTGTATCTCAGCCAACTGAACTGGCTCACGAGGCACACTGTTTCCTGCTGCACCTAGTAGCATTCAGAGCTGGGTTTGGTACCTGCCTAGAACCAAAGGAGAAGACAGTAAAGTTGTGTTGATCCTTATGTCCTTTCATGGTTGCGCTTCCTAACTGCCAGAAGCAGAAAGTGCCATTTTGTTAATAATAGCAGGCAGAAGTGCTTGTAAAAAGATTCAAAATGCATTATACCTCTGCAATAAAAAGACTTTCTGTGACACAAGTTCATGACTAAACAGACTTAAAAAGCTACTTTATATTTTCCTGAAAAACCACTGTAATTGTGTGATTATTTTTTTTTCTTTCAAACAGGCTATTACTACAAAAATGGAACATAAACCCAAAGGACAGTTCTGTTTTTAAAAACAGTGCTCAGGTAAATAGTCACCATAAATCATATTTTATACATAGCTTTAACATTTCATTAGAAGGATAACATATCATAAGCTGACTGTGAAGATTATTAATGGGAGTGACATTTTCAAAGCTGAAAGTTTTGCAATGATTTTAGTGCTTAGCTGAGCTGGTTCCACAATATAACCAAAGAGAAGAAAAAAATCCAGTCAGATCTGCTGCTTCACAGAAAATAAAATCTGGAGCATGTTCAAATGTGGGCAGAATTCACAGTATAAGGCCTGGCCACTATGAAGGGATGTTTGGAGAAGAAACAGGATAACCATCCTGCAGTAAGCAAGTTGTTACAGGCATGTAGAGACAGAGGCTGTTGTTTCACAACCATCTCTGTCTTTGATCTTTCCAAAGTGAACTACTGACTGTAAAGCATATTGGAAGACATTCCTGTTAACGTACTTCAGAAAGTACAAAATGTTGTAGCATAGTTGAGCACATAAGTAAGGTAAATTCTAAGTTCCTCAGGTTACTTTATATTGTTTTTCCAGTATTCTTTTTCAGTTGTGTCTGTGAATTTATGTGATTTATGTATTTTGATGTATTTAAAAAATGATTCATATGTTTGACTTGTAGGATTAAAATTTAGGCCAACAAGGGATGTTGAAGATGTTTGGAGTGGTACCAGTAGCCTGCCTCACTTCATTGCATACTTAAAGCTTCCAGCTGCAAGTATAAAGAGGGAAGGATGTACTGTTGTTTTTTTCTTCCTCTAAACTTCTGGCAGAGGAGAGCTCACAAATGATAACTGTTGCCACCTTACTGCATTTACGGGTGTTGCAGAACTCAAAGTAAATCAAGACTTGAACTCTCCAAAGTCTAAACGTAAACAGAGGATAGTTTTTAATGTAATGAATATAAATTTTAGATAATGTAATGGTTTCATAATGTAATAGTTGTACAAGAATCAGACCCCTGTTTCTCCACAGGTTAGGAATAATTATTTCACCACATCACACTAATAATTGCTTCCATCAATTGATGGTATGCCAAAGGTGTATTTTTTTGGCAGTTGGTTTGAGACTTGTTTGCTGGTGCTCTCGTGACTAACAGATGTGACAGATGGCTGTGATACCAGAAAGAGAATTCTTTTCTTCAGTTTTGAATAACAAATCCAAGAAATAACCCTAGTGCAGAAAACAAAGTTGGAATGACTTTGCTGAAAGAAATTTGCTAATAATTATTTTTACTCTTTCCGTGTTATGTTGGCAGTAGAGAAGGATCAGAGTGGGTGATTCAGAAATCATCAGGCATGGAAATAAGGAATATCTTGATACTGATTAACACCTGGTTATGTTTGTATAATCACACACTGCCAGTCTTCAAAGCAATTCTGTTAAGTTCTTGTGCACTTCCTACCATAGAAAGATTTAAAATGTTTCCAGAGCCATTTAAGAAAATCCAGTATTGAGGCACATATTTTTCCAGTTTATGAAATACAATTTTTTTTTTAATGAGGAACTCAGTGGTGACAGTTCATTAGCATTTTGTAGCTGTTTACTTTTGTCTTCCAGAGGGCTAGAAATTCATGGTTTTAGTATATGTAATTTTAATGAAAATTGATCCAGACTGCAAAATTCAGATACATGGTCTGAGTTTATTCAGGAGCCATTCTCTTCTCCTGAGTGCCAACTGATGGGAATGACTCAAATAATTTGATATGGGAGATGCCTCTTTTCCTTCTTCTGTTTTATCTCCATAAAGAGCTAAAACTTTTTCTTTCCATCACAGAAGTATCATTTTACTGTTGTATGCTCTGTACCATCTTACTCCTGCCTTCCATGTTGGCACCAGCCTACTGTGGCAGACTGCAGTTAAAAAGGCACATTGTGCTAAGCATCATTTTCCATGATTCTTGATAGTATATTTCAGTATATTTTCTGTGTGTTAGTATGTGTATCACTGCTGAGATGCTTTGGTATAAAGTCTTAACTGTAAATCAATAGGATTAATTGCATTTTTATTGGATGTATATAAGTAATAGATGCTGACTACTGATAAAAGGAGTGAATTTGTTGAAACAGTAAATCCAGGCAGAAGAGACAAGGTTTCTGTATTGCCAACAAGAGATGCTTATTTATTCCTTGACAGATTTAAGAAATGTCTCAATGCTGGAGTGTATATTTTGATATTGTTATAGAGGTCCTTAGGAGGTAACCCTGAATGTGATATCATAGACTCTGTATGAAATAAGAATTGAAACATGTCAGTGTGCTGTGTTAGATTGCAGTCTGGCAAACCTCTGATTTACAGCCTTTTTTTTTTCCTGTATGGTATTTGGTTTTTGTATTTTACTCATTGGAAACAACTCAGTTTATCCAAAGTCTCACAAACTGATCATAAATGGATCTGTGTAATCCTGAGTTCACTGCACTGTACACTAACTTTCTGAAATTACATATACTTAAAACATTGCTCATTTGTTTGCACTGGTTTAGTCTGGACATATGTTATAGCTCTTTATCTCTTGAAATGCTCCCAGGTTCAGACTGTAAACTTAAATATGTGTAGGAATTCAGGTATCTTCTTGCTGGTGCTGTGAGCTAAGAGTTTCTGTTCAAGAAAAATGCAACAGAAAAGGAAGGAACAGATATTTACATTAAAATTTGTGTAACCACAGAAGATTCTAAAAGAGTCAGATGTTGCAGTATGTAGCCATTGTATTCCATCCTCTTTGTTTGCTGAGGGTTTTCACCCAGCCTCTTTCCATACTTCTGAGACGTTACAGGTTGATCAGCCCTGCTGCCTACTTAGAACAGCTCAATCCTTCAGAATACAGTTTCTGTCTCCCACCTATTGCCTACCTGGGTCAGCAGTGATGACCAGATTAATCGAGTGCTCTGTTATTGACCTTTCTATGTTGATTTGTCACATATGCACCACTTGCTTTCCTGGTTTATGCTTTCTGGAATGCGATTTATTTTATTCAAAATATAATAAAAGAGGAGTTTTATAATTGACAAAGTTGCATACTTTTCTGCCTTCTTCTTTGTAAGTCATGTGTTTTCTGTGATTCACTAAATATTCTGATTTATATACAGAGAATTAAAGTGAATTAAACCAGTTGCTACCTTGATGCTCTCAACCATACATCAGAAGACTGCAGCAAGAATTGGTGATCTCTGTGTGAGTACAGATGTTTATATTAACTTGGTATGGACTGGCAATTCAGGAACTCTTTGTGTGTTTTTCAGCCATAGAGCCTCAGAGGAAAACAGGCCATACCCGACAGAGAGCTTTTGAACTAAAAGAAAACTTAACCTTTTTTTCTGCATATATATATATATATTTCTTTTGTTTTTCAGTTTTTTTCTGTGACTTCTGTATCTAAGAAGCCAAGATGTCATCCCTGTTCTTTCGATGGAAACACTTTTATTTATGATTTATTTATGATTTATTTTGTACTGCTTTCCTTCAAACACTGTACAACCTGTCCCCTTTTTTAACACCTTAGAACACATAAGGGGCATGTTCATTATTGCTATTACAAGATGCTTGGGTTTTTTTTCTGTAATTTCACCCTAACTTAGCAGTGTGGGCTCTCAGATGCCATTTCATTTGGCCCATAAATCAGTCCATCTCTGTAGCATGCAAAGCAACCACAAGTGCAAACTAAATGAGGGGCTAAGTTGAAAAGCACTTTCTGTGGCACGTTCCAAGGCTGTACTTTATAGTATTTATGCATGCTCTATTCCATCCAAGAGGAAATGGTGAAATATGTAGAATCATGATACAAGTAAATACACAGACACAGGAAAAGGAGGAGACAGTGTGAGAATGCTCGTGTATGTTAATGAAGAACAGAGAGATTTTAAAGGAATCTGAGATCTCGGGGTTACAGCTAACTGTCTGACACTGAAACTAAAAAACCTTAATTTTTCAGACTTTAAGGGAAAGATGTTTGAAGTATTAGATGTGCTTGTTCCTAGCAGTACTGTATCTGATGCTATTAAAAAGAAAAAGCCAAATGAGAGATTATGAAAAAAACAGAGCACAGTATTATATCTTTAATCAGAATACATGTGACTGTATTCAGTTGTTATACAGAAAGTTATAATTGCATTGTTATACAGAAAAAATGTGTTTACAAAAGGCAAGTGATTGAAATGCACAGTGGTGAATGCTTGTATCTTTTTGTCTAACAAAAAATCAGAAGGAACTTGCTGCTCAAAGGTTCTTACTTTAATCCTAGCATTCCATTGTTCTTTTGCTGTGTTAGGTACAGAAAATATGCCTTCTGTTAATAATGGGAATGAGAATCTGCATGTTTCTCTTATGGCATGAAATTACAGAATGACCACAGGTAAGGTGGTAGCCTTTGGATCTTACTTTTCTAAGTTAGTAAGGACTGTGAAGAATGTTGTGCTATCCTACAGAAGTTAATGTGTCATTTGAATGATGCATACTTCCAGTATGCATCAACATCTGTTGCATTAATATTGTGTCTGTTTCAAGTGCTTTAGAAACAGTGCATACAAATGTTTTTTCTTCCTCTTGAAAATGACAGTTTTCCTGACAGTTTTAATAAGGGCTGAAAAACACCAAGTGCTTTAGCTCTATTTGCAGTACATAAAATTGAAGAGGAGTGGCCATACCTTTAAGTTACCTGAATCTTTCAGGCTTCCAGATCTTCAAAGTCTGCATAAGGACTTTTTATTCTTTATTGTATAGAAAGAATTTAAGGTCAAATGGCATAGATTTTTAAGTGGTCAATTTAAACTAGAACAGCAGTCAGTTTTAATATACTTTGTTTATACTACATTTTAAAATGTGAAGGAATCACTGAAGAAAGTGATGTGAAAGATGTTACCCAAGCAATAGTCTTGAAGAGTTATACCTTTTTCTTTGATTACCTCCCAGCCAACTGAAACAAATTATTGCTTCCAAAGCTTCTTGTAAGCCACAGTATCCAGGCTCTTTCTGAACTCAACTCCTTTCTAGCTCAGACAGGAGCACCTCTTCATTATAGTTTTACCTGTAAACAAAGGGCACTATAGCTCATAAAAAGAAGCACTCAAAGTGGCTTATCTCATATCTCAAGGCTTAGTATACCAAAGCAATGAGCAACTTGTAGAGATTCCCTGCAGTCCTTTAATGTTGGTCTCTGAGTCCTTCCATGTTTTGGTCCCTGGTCGCTCTGTAAAGTCACAGAGGCTGTGTAGCTCCCTGGCCTGGGTAAACACCATTACTTCATGCTGATTTCACACTGGGAGAAGATTGAGACAGGTGTAATATCCTCGTACCCTGTTTCTCACAAAGAACTTGAGTCACATGAACTCAACCAAGCATTTAAACCAGACAGCAATTTATAGTACCAGTGATAGCCACAAACACTCAGTTTCACAGGTCACTCCTGATGCAATCAGCCTTTACCTCACTATACATGCTTCTTCTGCCATCTATCCTCTTTGGTCATCACAGCTTTTGATCTGATTACAGTAAAAAGAAATAAGATGGAGAAGAACAACAGTGTGGTTTTCTGACCACTCTTTTAACTGGCTAGACTTCTGAGGCTGTCTCATGGTGAGAAGGCAATGTGTCCCTTGTTCATCATTCTCATACATATTAGGACATGGGCAGAGAAGATCAGGTCTGCATCTGGTTTCAGAATAGTGCCCCATGCTCATCTTAAAATGTTGTTCTCTCTTGTTTCAGTCACATTATCTCCTTTTTCTCCCTTCTGTCTCTTTAGTTTTTTCAGAACACAACCTAAGGAAGATCACCACCCTTAACTTTTTTATAATTCTATCAAGTTCTCCTTTTTCTGGACAATCTCAGTAACCATTTTATGTGAGCAACTCACCTGCCACTTCAGTCTTTCATGTCTCACTCCTGTTTTCTTGCCTTAGCTTGGACATTCTCAGCTCAGTGTAGCTTTAGGAGAGAGCTGAGTCCCTTAAGCTTTTCTGCTGTTCTGCCCTTGGGCACTCCAGAACGTGTAATCTTGCCTATGACTCAGGACAAACATCCGGCTGTCACGTTAACTCAGACTTATGTCTTGTTCTTCATGCTTAGGTTACATCTCTGCTAAAGGCTCCTTTCTGTATAACAACTTCCACACAATTAAAAACCCTTATTCAGGTTCCTGTTATTTCACAGCCAGAGCCAGAGCTCTACTCCCTTCCTGTAGCCTGAAAATGTAGTCCTGCCTTGCTCATAGCTAACTGTTGTTTTCCTGTCCCATCACTCTCTTTATATCCTTTTGATGACTTCTCATCTTCAGTTACATTAAAAATAATCTATTGCTTCCACTTTTCTGATGTGTCTTAATTGCTGATACATGCCATTCCATATGGTGAATGGACCATCGCCCAAATCATCACCTTAAAACTCCATTGAGAATCCTACAGCAAAGACATAGACAAAGACCGCTGTCAACTGTGACAACCACTAGGCTTTCTCCTCTCTCTAGTATCTCTTCTTATATCATTAAAAAATAGGTTCACTGATGAGGGATGTATCTGTTCCTGAAGGAGTTGCTAGAACGTATGTCCTTTGTGATTTACCTTTTAAACTAAAAGAAATAATGTGCAAATTGTATCTGTAATACAACCATTTTCAATCTGATAGCTGTGAGACTGTGTGTGAGGTTCATTTTCCTTTTTAAGCTTATGAATATTTTATTTCCTTTTTTTTTTTTTTATGAATTGTCTTCTCTTGTGCCTCAAATGATGAACTGGAGACTGGAGTGGATATATAACTTTATAAGTTGACTTGTTTTGTGTAGTCAGAACTGTGATATGAAACAATCGTGGCCTTAGAGATGGCTCTGCAAAGGATGACAATTTGGCAGTAGACTCAAAAACAAAAATGCCTGGGCCTCCAGGTAGAATACAAAGACAACTCTTAGCTCAGTCTCTCTAGTCTGGCCTTCTATTTCTGAGATTCTTTTAAAGTGACCTATTGCATTATTTCCTCCTCATTTTGATGACAGAAAAGCCATGGATGGCTGAAAACTTGAGCATTATAAAGAAAGTAAACTCTATTATCCTTTTGACGATACCACATCCCTCTGTGGTCCAGCATTCAGCGCTGGTGCCCACATCACTAGGTGCAAATGTGTGTTCCTGTGTGTCCTGCAGTCCTGCGGCATCTTGTCTCAGCCAGGCTCTGAATCTACTGAATCAGAGGTCCTATCAGCATGCAGTTTAAAATCAGCTTGTGTAAGTGTACTGGATTCCTCTGTGAAACAGTGCAATTACCTTTCAACACTGCTTTACAGACTGGATGTGAGTAATGTTTTGATAAACCATCATGATACTTCAGAAATGGGAACTGTCTCTGTAAACAAAGTAGCAAACTTTGTGACACCTTCCTGTTGTGTTCCTTCCTGTTGAATTTTCAGCAGTCATCTGCAAGTACTGCCTGTTTGCTTATTTCTGTTGCCTGTATGAACTGCAGGTGGTCACAGGAGAAAAGGTAGAAACTGTGTATGAGCTGTCATTCCAGACCTGAATGAAGTACTAATGCAGCAGTATTTCTTGTTGTAACTTTAGCTTCTGTTTCTTTCAACAAGGCATAGCAGGACTTAGGGAATCAAGTATGACTACCTGTATTCTTAATTGAGAGTGAGGTACAAAATAGCATTTCTGGAAGCTCTTCTGAGATGGCTCCTTCTGGCCAAAGGGGAACCAAAAATCAAATTAAAGTACCCCTTTTTGATTTTCACTGAGCAGCACTGACCAGATGCTGTGACTTGTGGAGTTGTTCTTTAGTAGTTCTAGAATTGATGGAATAACTCTGTCTTTCTCAGATAAAATGGTGAAACCTGTCAATGCTGTGGCTAGCTCGACCAAGGGAATTTTGTATTCCTGAGGATTTTACTCTGATTTGGGTTTGTCTCTCATTTTGCAGTCTGAGAAGTGCAAATTTACTCGACAGGTTAGAAGATTCTAATGCAGACTACAAGGACTGAAATGCATGTATATTGTACTAAAACATGTTTGTCTAGGTGTCAGTCTGTGTGCTTGTCAACACATGACTCCATTAAATACCATTAAATTGTATTTAAATTACAAAGTCACCTACAAGATATTCTTAATATGCCAACATTTAAAATAGAAGTAATTTATATTCAGATTTGGGAGTGTTCCTTTAGCATCTTAACTACAGAAGCCTACTTTTAGATACACCTATTTAAAATGCTGGTTTTGATTTCTCATTGTTTAATTTATAAAAGGTTTTGTGCTTTAAAAGTACTTTAAAATCTCAGAATCAGAGAACTTCCGTAATAATTAATCATTTAATTTATTATTAATTTTAAATGCTTTATTTAAGAGTAAATCTCCTTTTCCTCTTCTGTTGTGTACCAGGTAGTTTGCTGCCTATACTTCACCTGGAAATAGGAGAATAACTCTTGTGCCTAAAAAATTGGATTGGAGATGAAGGTAGAAAAATCAAGATGAAAGAGCTAAGTATCACAGCCAAACAATGTTTTTATTTCTTCTCTCTACCCAAATTTATATTGAAAAGTGTAGGTAGAAGGGAAATGTACTTCATTTCAATCTGCTACTGGTTGAGAGGTATCCTACCAACATTTCATAATGATTGAATCGTTAAGGTTTGAAAAGGCCGCTAAGATCATCCAGTCCAACTGTCAGTGCCCCCCCACCATGTCCACTAAACCACGTTCCTGAGCTCCACATCTGTCTTCTTCTTCACCTCCAGGGACGGTGACTGCACCACTTCCCTGTGCAGCCTGTGACACTGCCTGACCGCTCTTTCTGAGGTGCAGTTTTTCCTAATATCCAACCTAAACCTCCCCTGTGCAACTTAACATTATTTCTTGTCATATCTGTCTTATCTCAGAGAAGAGGCCAACCCCACCTCGCCACAGCCTCCTTTCAGGGAGCTGTAGAGAACCTCTCCTGCGCCTCCTCTTTTGCAGACCAAACCATCCCAGTTCCCTCAGCCTCTCCCCCTGTGCTTTAGACTCTTCACAGCTCCGTTGCCCTTCTCTGGACATGCTCCAGGGCTTCAGTGTCTTGTAGTAAGGGGCCCAAAACTGAGTACAGTACTTAAGATGTGGCCTCACCTCCTGCCTCCATCTGCTGGCACTATTTCTGATACAAGCCAGGATGCCACTGGCTTTCTTGGCCACCTGGGCACACTGCTGGCTCATGTTCAGCCATCTGTCCACTAATAGCCTCAGATCCCTTTTCTCCCTGCAGCTTTACGCTCTGCCCCAAGCCTGTAGCATTGCCTGGGGTTATTGTGACCCAAGTGCTGGACCCAGGACTTGATCTTGTTAAAGCTCATAGAGTTGGCCTCAGATGAACTCTTCCTGCCAGCTTGGTGTCATCTGTGAATGTACTGAAGGTGCACTCAGTCCCCTCATCCAGATCATCAATAAAGAAGTTACACAGGACCACCCCAGTACTGACCCCTGGGGAATACCACTGGTGACTGGCTGCCACACAACTGTGAGAGATAAATTTGTTTTCAAGCATTAGTGTTAAGATTTTCATTCCAGTTTTTCATAAGAACCTTTTTCTCTGTACTTTTTGTAATCCCCAGGTGAGACGTTTTAGTAATCTAGTGCCATTTCTCTACAGAATGATGTAACAATAGTGTATTTGTGTTGTCTAATGTCCTAGCAATCCTTTTACAAGGTAACAGTAAGATATTTAGAAGGATCTGATGTGGAGTTGTGTTTTTTTTTCCTGAAAAGGAATGTAAATTATGTACAAATTAAGCCCTGCCCTTTTTTGGCTCACAGCCCAGCCACCAACTACAAAGGAGCAGGAACAACAAAAGGACCTGAGCACACCTGAACATCTCTGTTTGCCTGAGCGCCTTGTGTTACTAATTGTTCAGCAAGACAAGTCTCTTGGTCTTACTTGGACAGGAAGCACGGGGAGAACGCTGACATCCAGGATTCTACCAAGGGTACTTACTATTTCTTTAGCTATTTTTAAAAACCTGAAATGTTTAAATCTAACTTTCTAGGGAGGAGTAATTTCTACATTTATACATTTGAAATGGCAGTAGAGGAGCTAAGAACTCATACCACACATGCTGCTTAAGATGTAACTATGCATAATATGTAGAATGCAGAAATAAACTTCTATATAATCTTCAGAAACAAGGATGTTACTGATTCTGGAAATATTTTTTTATGCATTTGTATATATTGAAAATTTGTTAATTTCCAGTTCACCTGAAGCTGATGCGTGTTCACATTCTATCGGTGCCTTTTAGGAAAGAGATAAGTTCTTCAAACTTACGTGATAGAATACTTTTTGCTTTTGATCTACAGCTAACTTAAAATATGAGATGTTAATCAGGTGTCAGCATTCAAATATATGCCATTTAACAATATGTTTTTTAATGGCATATGAGACAAGCTGGACTCTCGCTGTCTTTACAGCGTACAGAAAAGTGTATCTTTCAATGGACTGCAAAGTGAAGTCATTTTATGTGGCTTAGAGCTACTGCTAAGCATGGTTTAGAGATGTAAATTTTATTTTCCTTAACACAAGAAGCATATCTGTTTTATTTTAATAGTTCTTATTTAAGTTGTGCTTGGACATGTAGGTTATTTTTCATTTTTTTAAGTATCAGGATATTTTTCAACATAAGGAGCTCAAGTTTCCATTGTTATGCTATTGAATTTAGTGGGCTGATATTGGTGATGAAACAGTATAGCAGCGTGGAGACTGCTACAAATTATTTCCGTGTGTCTGAAATCAGAAAAGCAGAGCAGAAAGAAAAAAAGCAAAATATGAAAAACAAAATTTAAAAAATGTAAAGAAGTGATGACAAAATAGGCTGTAACTGCAGGGTTACAGACTGTGGGATGCACTTCCTGTGGTTTTGTTAGTATTTCTTTGTCACTCTGGAAGTGATGCAGCTGTCAGTTCCCAGACATGGCCAGTTCTGCATAATCTGTGCTGAACACCATTGTAAATGACTGAGAGTAAAACCTATGCCCTACTGCTGTAATGTTTCTACAAATACTCTTGAGGAGTGTGTGGGGATGTTGCTATTTGGACCCATTCCTGTCTACAGGAGAACCACAGGAATTTGCATGAATTGGGTCCATATTTTTTAATCTAAAGTGGCAGGCACACAGCTTGCCTCCCACTTTACTGGTACTTAATTTGAATGTTTTTAGGCGTATATACTCTGTATTTCTATCTGGGGACATGAGGGAATCAAGACAATAGGGCTGTCTGATGCAGGAAAATTAACTTGTTAATTAATTTGTTAAAATTACTTTCTTGTGAGTATGCCATGATTTGGAAAACTGTTAATTTTAATTGCTGAATATAAGTGCCTATCTAAAGAGAAATGATTCTTGTAGAATAAACTCACTTTTCATCCAGAAGAAAGTGTACAGACTGATAACTCCTGTGGAATTGTGTATCATGGAATGAGCATAAAATCACAGAATCATTATGGTTTGGAAAGACTTCATCTGATCCAACCATCCATCCACCACCAATACTGTTCACTAAACCATGTCCCTGAGTGCTACATCCACCCTTTCCTTAAACACCTTTGGGGACAGTGACTCCACTGTTTCTCTGGGCAACCTGCTGCAATGCCTAACTGCTCTTTCTGAGAAGAAATTCTTAATATCCAACCTGAAATTCTATGATACTCAAATCAGTCTTCTGAAGTACATAAAACAGCTGTATATGAATGACCTGATGAAAAGAAATATCAACAGAAGTTGGTAAGAAGTTGGTATCTCTAAAATCCTGTAGTTTCTCTTCATTTCTATATAACATGAAACTAACAGATAAAAGATTTTATTGGAATGTAAAAGTATCCAGATTCATTACAAATTTTACATAGAAATACTGTCACCAAAATTATGAATATGCATAACTTTGGCATATTAAGATAATAAAATAGATTTAAATAAAAATAGTATAGTTACAAAAGGATCATTGTAACATGAAATTCACTGAAATTCTCTAAATTCCAGAGTACTGTGCAAGAATTTTCAAGAGACTTTTTATCTTGCAGCCGTGATGCAAGAAGGATCTACTGAGGAGCTTCACAGGGACCTCCTATGTGAGAGCAAACTAACTGAGCACACCAGAGCACTGGTTAAAAGCAGAAGGACAGTGGTGACAGGAGGTGGAGGCTACCTGGGATACAATCTGGGATGCGCTCTTGTCAAGGCAGGAGTTGCTGTTGTTCTGTTTGACGTACGAGAACCCAAGTGGGAAATTCCAAATGGTGCAGACTTTTTCAAGGTATGTTGAAACTGCATATTTAACAGCAGTGCAATAAGTCACACTACTGCTTGCCCAGGGAGGTTGTGGATGCCCCGTCCTTGGACGTGTTCAAGGCCAGGTTGGACGGGGTCCTGGGCAACCTGATCTGAATGTGGATGTTTGGTGGCCCTGCTAGGCAGGGGGGTTGGAACTACATGATCCTTGAGGTCCCTTCCAACCCAGGTGATTCTGTGATTCTGTGATTCTGTACTAATACTTGCACATTAGCAAGTTTTCTCTTTAGGAATTTTTAATTAAAAAGGCATGGAAAGACACAGAGTTTGACTGTACAAGAAAGAAGACTCATTAAATGAAATGAAGAGTCAGATCAGTATAAAGAAAATAGATTGTTTTTTCATGCAGTGAGAAAAAATGCATATGCAAAGCCTTGCCAAAAGTTTGCTTCCTCTGAGTTTGCTAAATAGGTAAGTTTAATCAGACTCAAGAAATCTTCTAAATAAAAATACATGGTGGTGGAATAGTGTTCTGGAGTATCACACTAGTGATAGACAGGTGTCACACAGGCTTGCCCTGTACCTGCTCTTCTCAGAGTAACCGTTTATGAGCCCTGATTACTTTTGATTCCTAACAATTCAATACATTTATTTATTATGTCTGCAAAAGAGAGAGAGCAAAAAAGACCTAAAATATTTAATGGTCCTGTGGGGAACAGCAAACCCCAGTACTTCCTGATGTGGGGGGAAGCTATTCTTCACATTTGCTTCACCCAATCAGGTTTGGGAATTTGAGTGTGCAGGCACGCACTAGCATGGCTCCTGCCACCTTACACAAGTTCTAGCTAGACAGGGTATCATCTAGCTAATCTGTACTGAGTGTTTAGAATAAGGTCTCTTAAACACACTCACTAGAATTAGAATGTTGATGGCAAAGCTGAAAGTAATCACAACATTCCTGTCCCAGGGGCTGTCAAGGTGGTGATGCAATTCTTCTTGCCATGTCACCATGTGAAAAATGCTGAGGATGGCAGAGGAGGACACATGATGCTGCTCTGTGTGGTTGTGTAGTGGACAGAATAATGGGCCAGGCAAGCTCCTAGTCTGACCCAGAATGGCTGTTATTATGCTCAGTTTAAGAAACAGCTTTTAAAAACTTGGAGCAGTGATGGAGTACTGTCAACAATTCAAAAACCATAGGCTTGATTTGTTGATAATGTACATCTACATCATTTGTTTGAAGTTGGTGCACTGATGCCAATTTACATCTTTTTGAAGAAACTCAAAGGATTTGTCTCCAGCAATTTTCTGAGAAAATTATTATAGTTTAATTAAAAAAAAAAATCCTAAGTATAGGTGAATTATCTACAAAATGAAACTATAAGGTAAATAAGGTATTAAGGCACAGATCTTTAAGGCAACTTGATCAGTGATTTGGAGATTGCTAATATTATTTAGACTGTGTATGTGTGTCAGCGTTTGACTGACAGTAGGAAATGTAAGTCAGCCATGCTTGTGCAATATTTTTGCAAACTCAGGTGAAAAAAGCTGAGTTGAAGACTGATGAGATGATCTTTTAATCTTATCTCCAGCCCTATCTTTTGTTTCACCATGATAAATAATATCTAATACTTTAAAATCTCCTAATTTGTAAAGAAGTGCACTGTCTTTTTACTGAAATATCACACTAACTTATACAATTTAAAATTCACATAGTATATACTCTTCTGCTTTAACCTTGAACAAAACTTGTGCTTCTGAGTACATAAAATAAAGCTCAGATAGGCAAAGTGACTTGTCCAGATGGCAGAAGCCAGATCTTAAGGTGTAATTGCTGTCAGAAAATGAGTTCTCCAATTTGGTGATTCCTTGGCAAACAGCTGAACTCTCCTTGCTATGTTTTAGCATCATTTGGGCTTGATTCTCCTGCCCTCAAGCATATGCTGCTCCCATTCAAGTCAAACAAGTTTTGCCAGCCTGCAGGACTAAGTGTGAAAATATGTGTTGTAATTGAGGCTATCAAGAGTCATGATTGTTTTGTAATACAATATTAAGAAAAGTCTTAGTCATGGATTTTTGTCCATGTTTGTGATACTTTATTTAATGTTAGTTGATGATATGAGAAATAGATCAGAATGACTTTAAATTTTTGTTAATAGCCATATTGAATATTGATGGTATGGAGAATGCAACGAGCTTTATCAGTCAAAATCCATTTTTTTCCTCATTTTACAGGGTGATGTGAGGGATTATGAAGCAGTGCTCAAAGCATGTGAAGGGGCTGACTGTGTTTTTCATGTGGCTGCTTGTGGAATGTCAGGATTAGAACAAGCAAGTACAATTTTCCTAACATTTTCTCCCTTTATTCTTGTGAAAGAAAAGATCTGTCTGCATACAGAAGTCAGAGAATATGGTTAAGTGGTATTTAGGTGAAACAGAAATTGATTATGAGGGTCAGGTGATCCATGTAGGAAACAAGGGAGGCGTTCCTTAAGGTCATAAATGTCAAAGCATGAAAGTAATGTGCTACTCAAAGCAAAGCAAGGCAATTAAAAATGAGAACTGCTAGAAATCCCTGTATGTCAGAACACTGTGACACCTACAAAGAACAAAGGCCATAGGTTTTCTAGATCTGTCAGTTGCAATGATTTTATTGTGAATGTGACTTGATAAATTAATTAGATTTTATGCAAAAATTTTTTATAGCTTCAAAAGAAAGAGCAGATTGAATCCATAAATGTTGGTGGCACTGAAGTCATAATTGATGGTATGTACTTAGACTTTCTTTATTTGCTTCTGACCCAAACCAAGTGAATTTAAAAAGCTTCCAATTGGATATTTTCTGTGTCGATATGGCATTTAAAAGAGACTCTTCCCCTCTTAATCTCAGAGTATGATATAAAGCTAGGTGTGCATAACAGGGCCCTAATGTAAGATAATCTACAACAGATTTAAAATATTTCTTCCTTCTAATGCAGAAAATTAACTTTTTGGATGGAATGAAACAGATTCCTTTACAACAGGTAGGAGATTTCCACTGGATTGGACTGAGGAAGGTTTTCAACCTGGACTTCATTCCATGGCAGACCAACTTAAACTCTCCACCATGTAATAGCTTATCTTTTTCCTTCACTATGTGATGAAGAAGAATGATCTTTTTTCTTCATAGAAATGTCATGAGAGAGATTAAACTTTGTTCTAAGCATTTAGGTGCCATAAATGTCCTAAGTATACTTAGCTATTACGTTACCACTTTACTATATCTATCCCTGTTTACCCTATCTAATCTGACCCTTTTCTATTATATATTGATTTTTAACTAATATCTGCTAACAAATGTCAGATTTCCTCCTGTATATTCAACTCCAGAAAAAAACGTTTAAAAGTATATTGTAAATTCCAAGGCTACCTTCTCTTTGCTTTTCCATCAAAACCCAAACAACAAAAACAACAACAATCAGAAAGCAAAATGGAAAAAATAGTTTTAATACAGACCCATTTCCATTCTGCCTGGGGATTACTGTGGGCTATTACTGAACAAACAAACAAAAAAAAACCAGAATAATTACAGTGAAGTGAAGTGGCAGGCAAGTAAAGGTCTGAATGAGCTGGAGGGAAAAGGTTGCAACATCTTACCTTCTTAGCCCAACATCTGAACCCACAGAAACATGTCCCGTCATATGTCTTGTAGACAATGCAAGAATCTGGGAGGAGTATGAACCTTGTGGCTCCCTATTAATCTACATTTTAATAACACCTTTTATTATCGTATTTTCTTTCAAACATTTACATCAAATAATTGCTTTTATCATTTTCAAAATAGCCAGGGAGCAACTGGACTGACTGCTGTGTAGATTCCAACAATCGTAACTTTGTTAATATTTACTTAAACTTCAGAAGCATTGCTAAATCAAAAGGAAAGGTGTGTTACTGATGTTTGCAATGACATATGCAGCAGAATTTAGACATCTTACTCTCAGCTGGAATCCTTAATTAACACTTTGTTTTGGAAATTACACCAGTTTCATTTGTATTCAGTGTACCACAGATTATACATTGACAGTGTATGTTTCTTGCTAACCTTTGTTGGCCATTTGTCACTTATGAACAGACTGACACAGTTTTATCATACACACTGGAGAGAGTTCATACATTTCCTAAGATGACAGCTGGCCTGCATGGATATCCATGTAACTGTGGTGCAAGAAGCAGAACTGCTTGCTGCACTCTGCAGGGCAAAAATGAGGGTCTGCAGACAGGCTGCTGTCCCAAATCCCGACCCCTGCGAAGACGCAGATGGTTTTCAGAGCTGTTAGATCACCAGAAACATTTGTACTCATCTCCTATTTATTTAGCTTGTAAAACATTTTTAAATAAATGTTTTTAAAAGAAAGCAGACTTTATTTTCCCTGCCAAGAGATTTCCTCTATCCAGGAGATGACAACAGTCTGGTGGAGACATGATAGCTGTGGATAAAGCATCTGGTGATTGCAGCGTGAAATATCTGAACAGCACATATTTGAGATGAAATATTCCACCTGAATGAAAGATTCCATTGTGTTAAAAATATATATATTTTTCTGTAAGTGTAGTACTTGTTTTCAAAAAGAGTTTTCCAGTTCATATGTTGTTTCTCACTTTTCTCACTCTTTGTTATAAACAATGTATTTTCTTTTAACATTATAGTCTGCAAACAAAGAAATATCCCTAGACTGATATATACCAGTACAGTGAACGTGGTATTTGGAGGGAATCCTATTGAAGAAGGAGATGAAGAAACTGTGCCGTATTTTCCACTGGAAAAGGTACTTTGTTGATGTGATGGCATGACATCTGCTGTACTCTGAAGAGCAGATTATGTGAAGGTTGATCTGGAAGCATTAAGTTAGATTAAATTATATGGAGTTATTTTTCATTACTAAAAATTGGCCCGTATCAATGAAGAAATACTCAAATCATTGCTACCTTTATATACTATAAGTAGCCAGATTGAGAATGTTAAAATACCTAAGATGATTAAAGAAGATGGAATCTGACATTTCCCAGGAAGATTTTTAGAGGAAGGGCTTTCAGGGAACCAGCTGCTTTGTAAATGCTGCACATCATGGCCCCTGTGAGCCATTGCACTGAAAAATATTGTTAAATGTCAAATTCCACATCTTTATGCGCGCTCATTATTGCCTCTTTGATATTTCCAAACCTTGCTTTCTTGATGCTTCCTTACGGCACCTCATGGTTGCTCTGAAATAGTTGCCTTCTTTGCTATAACCTTTGAGGAATGTTTTCTAGCTGAAATCTGGAGCTCAATGCATCCTGGCCTCTCTTGTGCTTGTCATTTGTTCTTTCCTGCCTGCAGCTAAAAGCTGTAATTTTAGACTGTCCAACAATCCTAAACAGCGCTGACTACTACTCTGTTGGAGCCTCCTGCAATAGTTGGAAATGTCAGTGCAAAGCCTGCACAGCACCTCAGGCTTCTAATAAAGCATTTAAGGCATTTACAATTAGTTGCATGTTTTTGAGCCTTAATCATATGTTTTCTTTGATGATGACCATGAAATAGCAAGCAGCAGAGGTGCAGGAAGGAAGGTGCAACTGCAGTGTAACTTTTAGCTGTAATTTTCTATATAAATTATAGCAATACAGGATTCAAGAGATGTCTAAGTCACCCAGTGTGGAGAAGTAACCACCAAACCAGCATGGGCTGTGTCCAGAATCCCAATTAATACACTTGGATGCATTTTACTAACTTAATGGTAAAAGATAAAATTGGGAGGTGTTTATGATTATATAATTGTAGTTATATAAAATATATCGATTTAAAAATATATAAAAAGTTTCAATAGGAAATGGAAACATTTTTGGAAGGTCTAGTTTGTTTTATTTCACATTTAACTTAATTATGTACAGCTTTAATTATATTAAAAGGTCTGTAGGTCTGACGCCTACAGACTGGCTAGATTTAGCTGTGATCAGATATAAACATTGTCTGCCTTCGCAGATACAATAATGTGATTAAAATGTTGATCATATTCTGCCTTTCTTTATAGCATTTTAATCATTACTCTAGAACGAAGGCAATTGCAGACCAAATGGTTCTTGCTGCTAATGGGACGTTGCTAAAAGGTATTTCTAAAACATTTGGGTTTTTCCTACCATTAGTAGTGCTATTCCTTTCTCTGTTTACTGGCTTATCAATACATAGTATATATGAAATGAGCTGAAATAAACCTACCAGTGGATGACTAGTGTTCATACCAAGACAGACAGGAAATTGTACACAAACAACAGATAGGAAAATCCAGCCTATGTTGCCTTACTTCTTCAAATCATTTTAAAACATTACCAACTTTACTGGATTTGTGCTTTTATTGCCCATTCTTTCTGTCCCTTCAAACATCTCAGCACTGTCTGATAAATCATTTTCATAATCCCCAAGAGCTTGCTGTCATCTTGCAAAAATAATTGCTGCTTCTTAAACAGATTGGCAATATCAGGATCATGTTGACTTCTAACATTCCATATGTGTGAACAGTTATGACAGAAAATCTATGTGTATGCAGCAAGAGAAATATTTAGCCTTGCTTTCATATACATATTCTTCTACTCTTGCCAATTTCTCTGAACTGAAATTTAATAAATAAACATTAGAAGGGGATGCAGCTTTAGCATCTCTGATTACGTACTGAGCAAAGGCCCACCGCCTGTTAAACCTTCCCACACCAGAGGTGGAACTGTGCCTGTTCCCAATCTATGTACTGATTCACGTGTAGAGTTAAAGTGTTAACTTCAGAGTATTCTGACTAGTCTGAAAGCCTCTCTTCAAGAGACCTCTTCTGTTCTTTCGCAGTGCCATCGAGGCTTAAGCAGGCATAGTGTCTAAATACAGTGAATGGCATGTTTTTGTTCCTGCATTCCGTGTCTGCAATTATGGAGACACAAGTATTTTTTATAAACTTTTATCTATAACCAAAAAAGGAAAATTCATTCAGGCAGGAGGCATGGGCACAGGGAAGTGCTGCGGTGAGAGGATTTGATTTCCCAGGCTGCAAAGGAAGGATCTTCCACTGCTACTGAATTCAGTTTTACAGAGATGATAACGAATGGGAAGCACAATCACGTAGGGTAGTCAGACCGACCCCTTGTTTTCAGAATGTATCATTCAAACAATATATGACATTTTCCTGTCGTGTGCTGGGTCCGAACTGTCTGCTAACCGCACTCTGCTCTTTCCAAGGAGGCGCCGCGCTCCGCACCTGCGTGCTCCGTCCGCCAGGCATCTACGGCCCCGGGGAGCAGCGCCACCTGCCGCGGGTAGCCGTATGTGTCACGTGGTCAGCGCGGCTCCGCGGGGCGCTGTGAGGGCGGGACGGCAGAGCGGCGGGCGGTGCGGCTGAGAATTGCCCGTAAAAACTGGGGAAAGGTGGGGCGATCCGCGTGGTAACAAACGGCGGGATGTGAACGCTGAGAAACGGCAAGGATCGAGCTGTATTTTGGGGTGGAGAAAAATTGCACAGCAGAAACAACGCGGTAGAAGAGCCAGGTTTACATTGCTGATCATTTAATGAAAAGAGTGTTGTTTTAAATACGCTTTTCACTTTCAGAACAGTACATTCTCATCCAAACACCATTATGCCATCCTATTTCACTGCTGCATGTCGGGGCAACTGCCCTGAATCCATAAAACCCTACTTGTTGGTTCTTTTCCTTGCAGTGCAATCCTTGTGCTGAATTGTGCACACAAGCAGCAAATTCTAAGCATTCAGGCTGATACAAAATGAAAATAAAATACTGTGTAATAAACACTCTTCATGTAGTTATTTCTTTTATTTTTTTTTCTTTTTTTTTCTTACAGGTAAATATCCAGCGGAGACTATTTAACTTCAAGTTTGGGAATCACAAAGTTCTGATGAACTGGGTTCACATTGGAAACCTGGTACAAGCTCATTTACTAGCTGCTGAGGCTCTCACCTCTGAGAAGGATTATGTAGCTGTAAGTAAACAGTATAAGCATCCTATCCCAGTAGCCTTAGCTTCCAAATAAGTTTCACTTTTGATGCTTTGAGCTCAAAGGTTCTCCAAAAGATTGTGTGCTAAATTCTCAAAAGTCTTGTGTGGATCCACAAGCACACAGACAGTGCAAATACATTCTGTTGATATTTTGACTTTTTTTTTTCTTTCTGGTTTTGAAGCATACTAAAGAGTGTGAGCACTGTTGGAAATCACAGTGAATTCCAATGAATAAATAATAATAAATAAATAAATAAAATATAAAATATATAAATATAAAATATAATATTAAATAAATAATTAATTAAATAATTTGTTGAGCTGATGTGTGTCAATTCATTGTATATTTGCTGGTATGCTATTCACCAAATCAACAAAGATAGGTGGCTATGTGAGAGAAAGAAAATTATGTTTTTGTGACTGTTTTTCTCTGCTTCTTTAACAGAGTGGACAGGCATATTACATACATGATGGTGAAAACGTCGTATTTTCTGAATGGATTGTTCCATTAGTATGTATTACATACACAGTTAGCTCTGATTAAATGTATGGGCCCCAATCATGTTGTTAACTAAAAGACCATACTAACTAAATGAAGTTCAGTGCACATTAAGTACTGAATTGTCAAAGATAAAACTGAAGTCTGTCCTTTTCTGCTCACATGTCTCAAAGTTGCACTGGCTTTAGAGGAAGCTTTGTATATGCACTGCTGTGGAGTTTGGCTCTTATTGTTTTATGAGAGTTTAGCTAAGTGCATGAAAACTACTTTTAGTCCCTGAAAGGCTTCTTCCAGCTATTAGCTAATTCTCTGTTGTCAGCTGGAGCACAAAAAGGAAAGTTATTTAGAATCCTATAGTAAGAGTTAAAAAGAGGTAACATTATAACCAAAAGGCTGGGATATTAGGAGTATGCTGAAGTTTTTGTCTTTCAATGCCTGCACACAAAAGACTTTTCAGGGAAATGACTTCAGCTGAGCTATGGGCCTCTGACTAAATACAGTACCTGGCTTGGTCACTTGCCCCTTGGAAAAAGCATTGTTTCACATTTGCCATACAACTTAATTTGTAGAGTATAAGATGCACACCAAAGAGGGAGTGGTGCTGTGTTTTCATGTACTGATGGGAAGAGTAACTGGAAAAAGTTTAGATGTATTTTTTCAAAATTCATTTTTCCATTTTCATGCTTCATTGCCATCCTCAATTCAATCCAGATTCTCTGTTATTCTTTCCTTTTATGTCCCTTCTAGTTTGAAAAATTAGGATACAGTAAACCCTGGATACAAATTCCTATTCTCCTGGTTCATATAGCAGGTAAATATAATAAACTACATATTTGATTATTGTGCTGTTATTTAAATTTGTTTTGTTAATATCTGTAAAACTACATAATGTTTTTATAGAATTCAGGGACTGAGCCATAGGAATTATCTTATTTTAATTAACATAATCACTTATGCCAATTGATATTAATAACACCCAGATACGGTTTAAAGGCTATTAATAAACTGAATTCATCATGTACTTAATAAACACCGCCTTGCAGTATCTTAATTGAATCCTCCGTGGTCAGTAGGAATTACAGGATGTAATGTCAGTGTCATCTGTTGATTGTTATCTGGCTGTCTTATTCAGTTACTTTCTGTCTCACAGCCGCTGTGATGGAGTATCTGCATCTGGCATTAAAGCCATTCTTTAGCTTCACACCTTTCTTGACAAGGAATGAGGTAAGTATATAACAAGAAAGAATATTTATATATTTCTGATCAGAGTTCTCATGAAATGTGTGATATGCCCTCTGGGTACTGATGGTGTTAGAGCTCAGTCTCTGGCTCAGGGATTAGTCCATTCAGGGCTTAGGCAGTCAATTTCTGGCCTCATTTTTGCATGCCATCCTGGCCACTACTTATAATATGATCAGAAACTAATCCTCACTTGAAGACTAGATAGTCCAGAGTGACAACATAGGGATAGAAGACAGAGTGAGTGACATGGTGCTGGGACAAGAAGAAAACAGGTACTACATCATTGCAGATACAGTCCGATGCCATAGAACTAGCTGTTAAAGGAAGGTGTACAGTCTCAGGTCAATGTGGTAGCAATCATCACACTGTAAGGTTAGCCAATAATTAGAAGGTTCATTAAAATAATTATAAATTGGAATGAAAAGTCAATTTCCTGCAAGCAAAAATTTGGACAAATCTGGACAAATTCATTTTTATCTAACTTATGTTTTTGTATCAAAATGCTTCACTCTATCATCTACAGTTTTTCTTACTGTATTTTAGCCTGTAACATAATAGGAAACAGAAGGGATTAATGGACCTTAGTAACTGATGCTGTAGTCTTTCAGTCATTCCACATTTGTGTATCAGTTTTTATATTTCTACCTTAGTTTTATATCTGAAGCAGAAATAAGGCTGTGCAGCTGGTGCACTTTCACAGTCAGCCTGCTTTCAATCATGGAGGATGCATCCATGCAGAAGTGAACGTTTTCCAGTTCTAGATGTGCATTTCTGCAAAACTGGGAAGCCGTGCCACCACAATACATGCATACATCCAATTCCATTACATATTTGTTTGTACACATGAGTCAGTTTGGGAGAAGTGTGCTGACTTGTTGTGGGAGATTTTCTTAGGTCTTACTTGCAGAGCTTATCAGTCACAATTGAGAAATCAGTGGCATAAACTCCTTTTCCACTCAGTCCACCAAGGATCTTGTTGCACTTTGATTCTTTGTCAGCAACATAAACTTATTCTATTAGCTCTGGACAGAATCAGAACTGAAATATGTATGTTTTTGAGTGTCTATTTATGTTTTTAACTCCATGTAATATCACTGTTGGCATACATTTGTTGATGTTCTATAAAACTGGATGTGAAGTCACTTCCATAACTGTCCTTTTGGATTTTAGGTCTGGAACGTTACTGTAACTCACACTTTCCGAATAGACAAGGCACGAAATCAACTTGGTTACAAACCAAAGAAATTCTCATTTGCAGATTCTGTGGATCATTATCTTAAAACAAGACCTGTTTGCCAGGAAGGTCACACGTTCCTTAAAAAGCTCTTTGTTTTTGGTCTTTTGTTAAGTTTAATCATTCTTTCCTTCTTCTAACATCAAACAGCTATCCACCTGTTCCTGAAAAACTAGTTTTGTTTCTGGGGATGAATGGCCTGCTCGTGCTGTATTCCTCAGTCGCTATGAAAGTTCTTGTTCTTACTCGTTATTCTTATCATGGTGATGACTTCTCCCTGGTCTTACCCAAAATAAAAAAGTGAAAACAAAGTGCATCAGGAAATGTTCCAAAGGACAGTGCAGTGACACAGAATCCAAGGAACTCACCGCTGATGGGTGAAGGAAGAGTTTGAATGCACTGGATCACTACTGGATCACGTCATACTGAGAATGATTTTCTAAAAACAATCATCCAGAAAGGTGAGGATTTGGAAGAGGAGGAGCCGTCATAGAAGCGCAGTGCTGTAACAAAACCAGTGGCTCCAATGAAGAGAAGCCTGTCTCAACGATTGCTCTGATGAAGCTGCTGCTACAGCTACTGCATGTTAGTGCCAGGAATTACAAAGACCTGGGAAATACTACAAAAATAAGTGAAAATGTACAAATGACAGGTGCTAAAGGACAAAAGTCGTATTTATGTGAAACAGTTCTGTTGTTCAAAAGCAGTGTAAAAGCTGTAATAAAATGTATATATAAAATAATTTTTAGATGCAATAATAAATCTCAACTGAACCGAATACTGCTTTTAAGGAGTCTGTAGAAGGGAGGGGGATGGCAGGTAACTGGAATTTAGGAAGGAGCTACTGCTGTCTCTCTGCGTGAGTGCAGCCAGGTCTGCAATGCTGCCTTGTGCTGGGATGTTGTCCTTCAGTGAACTGCTGTTGTGGTGTCAGCAGGCAGACCAGAGCTCAGCCCTGAGTTTGGGTCCAACCTCTGCCTTTCTCCTTAAGATTTCCTTAAGATCTCCTTAAGATCTTCTTAACATTAAGAGTTGCTTGCAGGCTGGACTGTGCTACATAAGGTCCATGTGTTCTACATGTGTACATATAATGTGTTTCCCAGATGAATTTTCATGAGGTTACTCTGGATCAGGAGAGGCACCCTTGCCAAGGTGAGTCACAGAGGAGAGTGATGGAAAAGCTCTGCTGCCTGAATATCTGCACTCTGTATTTGTCTTGCCTTTGCATTAGCATTTTGTGGGAGTTTTAAGACTGAGAAGTTCATGGAAACTCTCATTATATCTTTAAATCTGCAGGGTACGCAGGAGTGCTAACAGCATCCCTACCATAAACTGTTCCTATCTTGAATAATACCCAGTGACAGGAAAACATGAGCAACCACAAGTTGACTCTGCAATGCATGTAAGCAAAGATTTGTTTTACCTTTTTTTTTTTTTAAACAAATAAGCAAGTAGCTCTCTGTGCAATGAAGGCAGAAAGCCTGATCTCTGAGGGACTGGTGCTGTCAGACTGCCTTGTCCATACAAATAGAACTCTACAAACGGAACTGTGGCTGTGGCACTGATCAGCCCTCTCTCCTACTCCTTTCAGGAAGTGGAAAGGAACTCAGTATATAAGAGACCTTTAATCAAATGTGGATAAGCCCAGTTACATATGAAGCAATGCAGCTGGCTGACAGGCAAGTGCTGTGGCAGGTACTGCATAAACCTTGCTTCCTTTGAAATGCAGAATAAAACCCACATGTATAAAGTTACTTCACAGCGAGAGCGTTTTAACTACATGCAAACATATTTAATTTGCCTTTAAACTAGTTATTTATGAATCTTGCATATATCACTTTTATTAGACTGGTGGCTCAGGACTGCATCCCAGGTGACACCGACACTTTGCAGAGCAGAGCTCAGACAGCTGGCTGAAGCCCAGTGAGAGGAGCTTCCATGGGCTCTTGGTTTTGGGTGTTCCTCAGCAAGGAGTAACCACAAAACTTGCTGGCTCTGTGGCTGCAGTTTGTGGGGAACCCTGCTGTTCTGCTCCTGGGATGCCAAACCTCTGAGCTGCTACTTCAGGTAAGATGCTTTTTACATCTGTACTGCAGTAGTGCTGATTAACGCTAACTGGTTTCATTAATTTCCTGTTATTACAAATCCAGCGTTTGAATTTTAAGACAACTTTTTGTATCAGTATGGAACAGCTGTCACACTTCTGTCAGTCTTTATGGAGCCTGTTTGTGCTGGCTACCGTTAGAGTTACATGTGCCCTACCATAATGGCAAGTGTGTCTTTAAAGGATTAAAATTTAATACGAACATTCAGCCATGGCACAGCTGTGATGGAAAAGGTAAGAGTGCTCCAAGTTCAGTTTGTTTGTGCCTGGAGTGGGTAACTGTACCGCCTGCAGCTCCCGACCCCCCGACACGCTGCCCATAGGGCAGGGCAGGGCAGGGACCCCGCAGCCCGCGTCCGTGCGATTGTTTCCTCTGGGATTTGCCGCTGTTCCGCAGGTGTCGCCGATGCTGTGCGTCTCTCCGGGCCATGTCCCAGCAATGACTCTCCGGACATTGACCGAGAGATGCCGTTTTATTCCGAGCATCCCGTCCAGCAGGTAGCTTGGGGCACACGGAGCCCGGCCGCCGGCAGCGCCTTCCCGCAGCGGGCCGGAGATGCGCGCAGGTGAGAACCGCCGGCAGCTGCTGCCGCGGGGTCCCGGGGATGCCGCGGGGCTCAGGGAATGCTGCTGGAGATCACGGGACCCCAGGCGTGCCGCGGGACGAGCGCCGTCCCACAGAAGGGCAGGGGGTCCCAAAGGCGCCGCGAGACGAGCGTGACCGCGGGGTGCTGCGGGACTCCGCCGCAGGGAGCGGGGCCCGCCGGGAAGCCGGGCGTTAAGCGCGGGGTCGGCCCGCGCCTTTGGGGCCGTTCCGCCGCACGGCGGCCCCGGAGGGCGCCCCAGAGGTGCCCTGGCCGCCGGGCCATGGCCGGGCTCCGGCTCCTGGCCCCGGAGGTCGTCCGGGGGAGCGGCGGTTTCCGTGCTGGCGTGCGAATTTGCAAGTGAGATGCAGAGAATAGCGGCGGCGGCTCGGGTGGCCTTTAATCTTTTATGGAGGCGCGGGGAGGGGATGCGGTAACGCTGCCTCTGTACCGGCGGCCTCTGACACGCCGTGTCGGCAGCGGGTACCGTTGGCTGTCGCTTTACGAATGGAAAAGACTCTTCTTGTTTAAAAAACAATTGTTTCGCTCCTACTTTTTGCTCAATACACCCACTGACCGGGTCTTTCCTTTTCTGTCACTTTGCAATTGTGCTTTAGTTCTGCGGGAAAGTGAGGGTTCAGATGGGCTGATCCACCCTGTGAGGACATCAGATAAATAGCAAGCCTTTCTTTCTGTCTGAAGTACTCAGCTACAACCGCTGCCAATAATGAAAGCGCAGCGTATTTTAATTTACATTCAGCTGATACTTAGAATGGTGTTGAAAACATCAGTGTGCTCAGATGGCTTTGCAATAAACCATGGACAGGTAAACAAAGCACTAAATTCGTCTGCACCGGGGCCAGTTTTGTTCCACTGTTCTGTTGGGCCTTGGTTGCTTGGTTTTAAAGTATTGAGACTTAAATGCAATTTACTGGGTGCTTTCCTGACAGTTCAGGATTTAGGTATGGCCCTGTTTCATGTATGACCCCTAAAGGCCATCACCGATCTTTTATAACATGAGACAACCAAACGTAGCTTGGTCTTCTAAAGAGGAATCTTTGGACGTTTGGAACCAAGTGTTTTGCTTTGTCTTTAGGTTGCACTGAAGTAAGACCTTGCTGCTGCAAGTAGAGCTGGTTGCCATGAAGCTTGCTGGAATTGTGTGCATCAGGGAACACTATGGAGCAATTTTCAACATGGAGAAGAAACTGTTGTGTGCATCTGGTCACAGAGGACATTATTTCAACGACAGAAAACTTCCAGTGAGTGGGGCAGCAAATCCCTGGCACCAACCCCCTAGCTCTGGAGTGAAGGGAAATGCTGGAGCACCGAAGGATAAAACCATGAGAGCAGTGGTGACGGGAGGTGGAGGCTACTTGGGATACAAGCTTGGATGTGCTCTTGCCAGCTCAGGAGCTTCGGTTGTTCTGTACGATATACACAAGCCTATCTGGGAAGTTCCTAATGGAGTAGTGTGCATCCAGGTATGACAAAATACATGCTCACAACAGTAAGTTAATTTGCCTTTTCTGTAACATTTTACTAGTATTTGCAGAATCCAAATACCCAACTGCAAAAAATTGGAAATGTTAAGGACATTTTTAACTGTGTGAATATCCCACATGATTTTTTATCAGCAAGCATTTAATATTCACATGGAATAAGAAGAACGATGAGAGCTGTAACGTGCAGCACAGAGTACTGCTTCATCTCCTGTCTCTGAAGGAACTCCTCAGGACCATCACTCCCCACACCTGGGCCTTAGTTTGTTCACCTCTGATGAGATGAGATGAGTAGTGCACTTCATGATTCATAGAGGTGTTAAGAGGTTAATGAACATTTTTTAAATTCTTTGAGTTCTACAGAAGAAATGTGTGATTATGAGCAATACTGAAATGGAGCTACTGTTCAGTCCCAGGATGTACTGTATGTGCCATTACAAAAACACATTCCCTCTGTGCTAACCCACTGTATGACAAATGCTAACCTATCGTTTTGATTCCAGGTCCAAATATCTTTTCATATGTATTACAGGCAGATGTCAGGGATTATGATGCCATATTTGCAGCCTGTGAAGGGGCTGACTGTGTGTTTCATGTAGCTTCATATGGAATGTCAGGAAGAGAGCAAGTGAGTCCAAATTGTTTTGTATGTTTCTGTGTGACTGCCCACACTGAGGATGGGAGGCCTGATTTTGTAACATTGCATGTTAGATCTTTTTCACTTCAGATGAAGCTGGGAGCCTGAATCCATGCCCATGCTGGTCTGGTCAACTGCTCTGTGCAAACAAGTAGGCTGCTTACAGTGCCCTTTTCCTAGTATGAAATGATTTCCCCATCATTAGAGGCACTAACTGCAGCCTGGGAGGCTGTTGGTTTGGAACACTGCAAGAACAAAGGGACAGAAAAGGGAGGGCAGGTTCACTCTAAAACCTCTTTCCTTAAACCTTTTAAATGGAACCCCTACATGTAAGGTCACTGGACGCAGTGAAATGTGAACTGAATTGAAAGTTATTTTGTGTAACTAAATTAAAATAACTGCCTTCTTTCAAATCCTAATTGTTTGCCACTAGTAGGTAAAAAGCTGTAAGGATGTACTTGATGTGGGATTCTGAACCACAGTTTTTTTATGATTGAAGTCAAAAACACACACACTCCTTACATTATTAAATTAAAATGAACTTCAGTAATTATCTTAACTGTATAAAAGAGCTTCTAAAAATGTTTGCAGCTGGGCAATGTGTACTTGGAATTACTCTGGGTAGAGCCAGCTGGTCAATGAGTACTACTGAAACATGGGCAATGTAACACACTGTTTACAGTCTTATAATCATTGGAGGTAGGAAGAAACACCATGATTCTCTTCACTTCAAGCAAGCTAGTCTCTAAAAAATGTAAGAAAATTACAAGTGTAGCTTAAAAATAATAATAAATCACTTCTTGATGTCTGAAACCTCAGTCTATACATATATATATATATATATATTTTTTTTTTTTAATCAAAGCACTCATTACTTTTATCTATGGACACTTACAGTGTCCACCTATGGAATTTAGAATGTATCATTACTCAAAAGGGCACCACTTTATTTTCCCAGTTGCACAAAGAAGAGATTGAAACAGTAAACATCGATGGGACAAGATTCATCATTGATGGTATGTATGTAACCCTGCTGGTAGGTGTTGGTGTGGCATATCAAAGTATGAAGCCATTTAGGAAAAAAAACCTACTTGGTTGTCATGAACTGCTTTTTTTTTACCAAATACATCACAGTTTTGACAGAAGATGAGGAAACGTCAATGGTCTTTTCATACCTGGGGCGAGATATTAGTGTCAGCACTACAGGTCAACTACTTCAGCTTGTCATAATCATGTCTGACATTATGGCAGAGTCTGTATGCATGTAAGACATGAACAGCTTTCCATGCTGTAAGCCTCACTGCTGCATTACAGTGTGTGCACAGGTCGTGGGCAGCCCTTGGAACAGAAAGTCTTCCAGCTACCTACCCGGCTGGGGCTGCAGCCCTCTACCAGGCTGGTAGCAGCCAGCCCAAAGGCATACTGTTAGCTTACATTACCTAAATTAGGAGATGCAGAATAATAAAGCACTTGGTTCTGAACAGATATTTTCTATTTAACTGTTGTCTTCCATATACTTTGTGTCTTAAATAATCCAATAATAAAATGGATTTGCTATTCTAAGATTTGCCAGAAAATCTAACAAGTTTCTGTCAAGAAGCACCTCCCTTTCATACAGGTTTTTTTCTATTTTGTTCAAGCTTCCACTGAACTACTTTACTTTATATATTGCTGCAGCTTGCAAACAAAGGAACATCACTAGATTGATATACACCAGTACAGTAAATGTGGTGTTTGGAGGGCTTCCTATTGAAGATGGTGATGAGGAAACTGTGCCATATTTTCCTATAGAAAAGGTATTTGGGTTGTATTATTTTTTCACTTTTCTTCTTTGTTTACATTCTTCTTTCCCCCCCTCCCCCCCCAAAAAAGCCTGGCATTTTGAATAATACAATATACCGAATACTATTTCTCTGAGGCAGTGCAACAAGAGAACAAACTCTAGAATACAGACCAGTCGTGATGTCTTAAAAACTTGGCTCCTGATTTTTCCGTTACCTGAAAAAGAAATCCAGATTACTAAGTACTGATCAATTACATTCTTGGCAGCATTAAAGCATACATATATTTATTACTTCTCAAATGGGCTGAAATTAATTAACTGGGTTTGCATAAACAAAAATGTTTGTTTGCCTTAACAATCTGCACATATTTTATCCTAAACCAGTATCCCAAAACTTCCATATTGTGAGGTGTTTGTTGTCATCTGCTATGTAAGAAGGGAGTAGAGAAGCAATGCCTCTCTGTTATGCCATGTCAAGAATAGATACAAACCTGTCTGCTTTTTCTCTGTAGCATGTTGATCATTATTCCAGAACCAAATCAATTGCAGAACAAATGGTACTAGCAGCTAATGGAACTCCACTAGCAGGTACTTTTCTGTTAGCAGTTCATAGTAAAATGTACTCCTCTTCTTCCCTTGCCTCACTAACATCCTGCATCCTGTATCAGTCATTCAGTAGACAGGAGTGTCCAGCAGTTAAGAAATCAAGTTACTTCCCCTTCTCACAGACTGAAGGATTTTCTCTTAAAAATCACTTTTAACTGTAGTTCTCACAGTGCCAAGAGAAGGTCTTGGCATGGCAGCAGTGAGTTCAGCATCTTCATTGAAAAGATTAAGACAGCAATAAATTAAGCAATAATGTGTTTATGTCGCTGCAATATGCAGCATAAGTAGAACATGAATGCTGATGAAATTGTTCTCCCCTTCCCTTATATATTAAAATCTGAATAAGGCACCTGATACTACAGCCTGGAATTATTTATTAGTGCTTCCCAAAGTTTTCCGTGTTGAGGAAGGCAGTTGTGCACTTGAATACTTAAGCTCACCTGTGAGATACTGTAGCTGCCTGCACAAAGCAAATTAATGTAAAGTGCAACGTGACGCCCTGCCAACGAGTGACACAGGGCTCAATTTAGCTGTGGGCAACTTAGAAAAAAGACTTTCTGCACCTGATACTTGCAGAGAGCTATAAACAGATATCAAGTCATTCACTGGCATTTCACAGCAATAGAATTATTTTGTCCAAAAAGCTTTTTTTCTTATTTTCTCCTTTTTTAGCAGCTCAACATATCAAAGATGCTCTGATTTTGGGAGCAGTATAGATAGTTGTGCATTTCTCAATGAAACTCACAATAATTTACCTGTGCAAAGAATCAAAGCAATTCATTGGGATTTTAGCCAGCCACTGTTCCGAACATCTCAATTAGATCCTGTGCTCTCAGCATGAATTAGTATTTTGCAGGTTTTCAAGTAATATTAGGAAGAGTTATTAAGAACAGAAGATGACAAACCAGTCAACTGCTACACTTGGGAATGACTGGATTTTTACAATGGCCCTTACTTTCTCCCACTGAGGTTCTCAAGAGGTTCCACAGCAGTTCTAGTGGGAGCAGGCTGTGCCTACTACTGAAAGCCTTTCAGCTCCATCTTGCACACACAGTGAGATACTGTTTCCCTGCAATAATTTTCTAAGAGATCAGTTTGCTTTCATTCCACATTCTCACTAATGACTTGCTCACTTCAGCAAATCCCCACAGCTGGCACTCTCACCGACTGCTTTGGCACAGAGATAAAGGACTGGTTGGTTAGAAGTTTGGAAATATCTAGTAAATTCTAGGAATTTAGCTATGCCAATGCTTTGAGAACTCTTAGAATGGTTTGGGCTGGAAGGAACCTTTAAAGACCTGTGAGTCCCTCCCTGCCCCTATGGAATATTGCTGGCAGGATTTTTTGAATCCTGTCTTGTTATTTTGCATGGTTTGATTTGCCAATATTCATCTACAAGTTCAGCACTTTCTGGTGTGTGATCTTTTTAAGCTGGTGAAGCAAATTTAATTTAGAGTAAGTTATGCTACAGCATTCTTCAGCTCATGCAGTGATAACGTAAGTCGTGTGAAGCTCACGTGGTTTGAATCGTCTCAATTTTCCCAGGAGGTGGAGCACTGCATACATGTGTTCTTCGCCCGCCAGGAATTTATGGACCAGAGGAGCAAAGACATCTGCCAAGGCTAGCAGTATGTACTTCCATTTTCTAATCAGCAGCATTTTCTGGGGTACCGAACAACATCACTTATGTGTATTACAGACTGACCAACCTTCTGATCTGGCATCAGTTGAACAGTTCGATTGTCTGTTGATGATATTGCAACTTTTTTTGTCAGACACTGTATGACATCTACAAAGAATGCATAATACATTAAAAAAGCCTCTTTTTAAATACAAACACATGGAAGTCCAGCTTTACAATGTAATGCTTACTGTAATTATAAAAGTCAGGCCATTCTATGATATTTCAAAAATCTGCTTGCATACAACTTAAACCAAAATACTGATGAAAGGAGATAGAGCAACATATATTTCCAGTCTTATTTATTGCTTTGGTTTCATGTTTGTTTTATGTCTATAGAGGAATATTGAAAGAGGGATACTTAACTTCAAGTTTGGGGATCCTTCTGCTAAAATGAACTGGGTGCACGTAGAGAACCTTGTACAAGCTCAAATTCTGGCTGCTGAAGCTCTCACTCCCGAGAAGAACTACATAGCTGTAAGTAAACAACGAAAACACCATAGTTTTCATTTGGCTGTGGATCCTGCCACTGTATCCTGCACTGCAGTAACTACTGTAGTAATCCTGTGGTCCTTTGGCTTGTGTTGTCTGTATTTTTTAATTGACAAATGTGCCATGGACAGTGTGAGCTGTGGCAGCACTGGCTGCGCAGTGTGTTGAGCTGGAATATTCAGTTCTCCAAGAATAGCTACATCTTTGTGTTTTTATTATACTTATTTGCCATTTCTGAAGAAAAAAATATTTGATGTCAGAAAAGTAGACTAGGAAAGGAAAAGTAGATTAAACTACTTTTTCTAAAACTCTAAAAACAAATTGCTAAGAGATAATTTGCAGCTTTGTTACACAGATGGAACTGTGTGGGTTTCAGTGACTCTTATCTAGACTGGGGCCAGAACACGTCCTACCATCTTCTAAATATGTGTCAACAGCAAAAGTTATCTACTGCACTGCTTCCAGTGCATTTGGTAATCCCCATATAGTCTGTCCAGTCTTTCTGTATACGTAAATCTGTAAGAAATAATTCGTACCAAGGTATGTTAGGCATACAAACTGCTTCTCAAGTTGACAGTGAATTTCATGGCACACAGAAGAAAAGATGATGGAAATAGGTGCAGTTTGTTGGCTTGTATGTACATCCATGTGCACTGCACGTTTCTATATAATACAGTCTTTGAGCTATTCATAAGGAGTAAGGTAAACAAGTCCACGTACATGCAGTGTTCTTTTTACTAACTTGTCTCTTCTCTACCTGTTCAACAGAGTGGCCAGGTGTATTTCATTCATGATGGTGAAAAGTTCAACCTTTTTGAATGGTTAGCTCCACTCGTACGTACACTGTATGCTTTATCTCTAAATATATTAGTTTGTTTTACTGTACACAACTCTGGCTTTGAGTGCAAATGACATATTTGGGTTCAGTGTGCATTCAATTCTTGCTTGAATTTCATTTTGATTAGTGCTGTAACAAAGCCTACTTAAAATGTAGCAGCTTGAAAGCAGCTGTACTCCCTGAGATAAAAGGACTTTCTGAAGCAGGGTCCTCCTTTGGATAGCCATCATCCTCGTTGCTTGGGCATTCTTCTCTTAACAGTGGCTATCTTAGATGGACAAAAATATAAATTCAAATTATGACTCTGAAAATACAGAATAACTCTAATATCCAATATTTTTAGTTCATTTTGCTGCCAACGATGTGCTCTAAACCATAACTATGTCAGGATATTAAATTTGGTATCAGCACACCATGATATTTAAGTCAATTACCATAAACCTGTTTTTTAATTTTCTAAAGACTGCTACTTGAAAATCACAGTGTCTGCTTGTGACACGTAACTGGAATCCCCTAAAAATGAAAAATCAAGTAGTAACAGCAATTATTAAATGTTCTGCCTTATCAGTAAATACTTCCATCTCCTGAACTGTTTTTTTACTGTTTTGTTTTTTTTTTTTTAATCTCTTTCAGTTTGAAAGATTAGGTTGCAGTAAACCATGGATACCTATTCCTACTTCCTTAGTTTATGCATCAGGTAAAAATTCTTTATCAGTCTTTCTCTGTCCAGCCAAGCAACCCTCTTCCCAGTTGTAATATGATATTGTGGGTTGTTCTTTTTTTCTTAATGTGGCCACAGTTCTTGTTTTCACACATAAAATGTGCTGTAAGCTCATCTTGTGTGCAACAGTTCTGCGTGAACTTCAGGTGTGTATGTGTGCTGAAACCAGAATGATCTGTGAGTTAAGTCACACTAAAACAGATGGTTTGGGTTGGTTGTAGTTTCTGAGGCTTACCAGATGTGCAGCTTTGTGGAAGACGTAGAAGGTTTTATGTAAAAATCCATGACTCCATGAAATACCTGCAGATTACCAGCTTTGCCTGCACAAGTTAATTTCTTGTACTCCTTTCTCCCATACTCCCCCTGAAACAAACCCACGTGCCACTAGATTGAATCTCACCCAGAAGAGTTTGGTTTTATCATGTCTGTATGAGTTCTCAAGATCGTTGTGCTAGCCCAGTTACAGCCTTCAAACCCTTGTGAGGCACACACCCTAAAATCAGGCTGACTGAAGCAAGAAAGATGAAACCCAGCTCCTTGTCAGCATTAAGGGTGCCCTCAGCTCTCCTAGGCTCAGGATTATCCTTCACTATCAAATATGGTGTGTGATATGCCACAATCATAAGGTACTGCAACTGGCTATTCTTACCTCAAGAAGAAATCTTTTGTTCTGCAGCCACAGTCATGGAGCATCTTCATCTGATACTGAAACCATTGGTTGAGCTGTCACCTCTGCTGACCAGAAATGAGGTACAGGTTTGTTTGTAAGCTCCCTTGTTCCCCCAGGATGCACACGTACCATATGAGTACAGCTGGGACCTAAGGTTTGAAGACCCTTCAGGCACCCTATGATGACTTTTACTGTGTCCTTACATACATAGGAGTGCAGAACACTTTGTGGATGTTTTCAGGAGTAAATTGTGCTGTGCAGCCTTTACTGCTTCTTTGGACTCTCGGCACACTCCTGTTGGGTGAACAAAAAGACTACATGACATATGTCAGTAGTCAACAGGTTTGGATATGCATATTTCTAAATACAATTTTACAGTTCGTTTTAGTGGGTCTTTGCCACCGTGCACAGCCTTTGTTCAGCTCTGCTACACACTCACACTTTGTGTGTTGGCTCCTTTGCTGACAGGTGCAGAACGTCTCCACAACGCACACCTTCAGCATCGACAAGGCCCGCAGGCAGCTGGGCTACAGCCCGGAGAAGTTCGCATTCGCTGATTCTGTGGAGCATTACATCAAAACCAGAGCAGAGGCCCGGAGCGAGCACGTCTTCCCCAAAGTGATGCTTTTGTTCCTTGCGATTTTAAGTTTGATTTTTCTTTCTTTAAGATTTGATGACCTTTCAGTTCTGCACTTTTTTAAGGAAGCACAGCACTGACTCACACAGGCTGCATGTGCCCCCTGCAGAATTGCTCCCATGGAACATCCCCGGCTCCACAGACAGGCACTTATTTTAGATTAAAAACAGAACAAACCTGAACACCACCAACACTGTAAGCAATTGCAGCCAAAGTCCATCACCAAGACACGTTTAAAGTCACACATATTTCCAAACTGACTGCTGGAGTGCACGAGGAGCTGCGAAAAGAACACAGGGCACAGCCGATGGAGAAAAGCAGCGGAAAGGAGATGGAGACAGCGCAGGAGCGGGGAGCTGAGAAACGTGCGGAAGAAGCACGCGGAGCGCTGCCGGCTGTGAATCGCCCCTGTGGGCTGCACGGAGCTCACACGGTGTGAATTTCCTTTGTGAACTGACCGCGTCACTGCATATGAGGGAAAATAAAAGGGAACGTGAAGCTCCGTGAAACCGGTGCGGTGCCTCCCTGCGGCTCCGCGCTGCCACGTCTCCCAGGGCTGGGCTGTGCCGCCTCTAAGCACTCCCACAGACCGCCTTCCCTTCCCCCGGGATGCTGGGAGGGAACAGCCGGGTGCGGAGCACGGGAATGGGTGGGCAGGAGGCGGAGCGGAGCCGGGGGACACGGACGGCCGTGACCGGGGGGCGGTGAGGGCACGGGCGGACGCGTGGCGAGCGCCGCTCTCCGCCTCCCCGCCTGCATTCCGAAGCCAGAGGGCGGCGGTGAGCGGCGCTGTGCGCAGCGCTGCACGGAGCTCCGCGAGGTGATGCTCGGAAGCCCCGCGCCCCGCGCCCCGCCGGGCGGCTGCCGGCCGCGAAAAGGAGCCGCCGCCGAGGCGAGACAAAACTTCTTGGCAGCGGTGGGATTCGAACCCACGCCATCGAAATGACTGGAGCCTAAATCCAGCGCCTTAGACCACTCGGCCACGCTACCGCCTGGTGGTTGTGCGGCCTGCGAGGCTGTTTTCAGCAGGCAGAGCCGCGCTTGTACCCGCGGAGCGCCGCCCGCGCCGCCGTTCCGTGCTCGGGCGCGGCGGTGCGCATCAGCTCCGCTCCTCTCCGCGGGAGGCACTGCAGGCGCGGCCTCCCCGCCCTCAGGCGTAGCGGCTCGGCGCTGCCGAGGGCGCTGTCGCAGCACCATGCTCCCGGAAGGTGGCGCCAGCACCCCGGCCAGGCGTCAGCAGCGCGCGGCGGCTGCACGCGCGGCCCCGGTGCCGCCCGGCCCGACCTCTGACCTCTGACCCACAGAGCAGCTGCGCGCGCCGCTGCCGGGCTGGGCGGTGTGGGCCGAGCCGCTCCTGCGCTGCGCCTCAGCGCGGGCGGGAAACAGGACGGCGAGGGGACTGCGTGTGGGCCGGTACCTCGTATTTAATCTTAATACACGTTTTTCTTTAACCCAGAACCTATTCACGTTAATTTCCATATAGTCCATAAAAGTGAAAGGAGTTTTGTTTAACATTTCCACAGCTCCTACCTCGAGGAAGAGCTCAGCCACCGATGCGTTTCGCGGGGGGAGCGCTGAGCAGATGAGAAGTGTTGGCACTGGAAACGCGCTGCGCACCGCCTGTGTTTCTCACGGGGCAATGGAGGGCAATGGAGCGTAGTGCAGGGCAATGCAGAGCAATAGAGAGTAATGCAGAGCAATGGAGAGCAGTGCAACGCGCTCCCCTGACAGCCCGGGCAGCCGCTCCCGGTCGCAGCCTCCACAGCTTCCAACCTGCGTTCCGGGCCGCTTTTCCTCACGCACACACAAACACAACCCGAGGGAAGCGCCTCCCGCCGGCAGCGCGCAGCCCTCAGAGCGCCGCGGGGCGGCTCAGGCAGCCGATGGGCGGGAGCTGAGGGCCGGCCTGCGCCGCCCCGCCCCGCTCCGCTCAGCTCCACAGGCTGCCGTGGTCGCTCCGCTGCAGGTCGGGCTCTGCGGCTCCCGGT